GCACACGAAAAATATGTGCAGGAAAGGGCATGAGTACACCATGCGGTACCTAGTAAGTGCCAAGCCTAACCTCGGTCGATTAGTAACGAGGAAGGTCAGGGCCCTACTGGTTATACATAGATATAAAAAACAAGGTAAGCAGTATGAAATGAAGCAGTATGATTAAAGTACTAACAGTCGATAAAGAATAAAAACACAGAAAGAATATAATCTAGTACACAGAGATAGCAACAGGGGAATCTACCAGGATATCGTCCCATAGTGCCAAACATAAATGTGCAGGGGGATCTACTGGAATACCGAGCTATAGTCCCAAAGTAAATTTCCAGTACAGGGTAATCTACTGGGTGTCGTCCCGTGGTCCCAAATATAGATGTGCAGGGAGATCTACCGGAATACCGATCCGTAGTCCCAAAGTAAACATGCAGGGGATCTACCGGAATACCGATCCGTAGTCCCAAAGTAAACATCAGGGGGATCTATCGGAAAACCGATCCGTAGTCCCAAAGTAAACACATAACAGTCTCAAGAAAGTATCTACAGTTCTATTCAAGTTCATTCCAAGAAAAGCTGAGATTTCTATTCTAAACATGCTGCACAGAATTCAAGTAAACAGTTTAAGCAGATGGTACATTTAAGTCACTTAAGAATGATTTCCTAAGCTAAACAGTAGGCTTTAATTACAAGTAGTGTTCAATAAAAAAGGAAACACAAATATTTACTTAATGAAAACGGGGTTTTTCAATAATTAGCACGTGTACGCACTCGTCATCTCACGTACACGGCACTCATACAACAACAGTACCAAAATCCTAAGGGGAGTTCCCCCACACAAGTTTAGGCAAGCCACTTACCTCGAACCAGCTCAAAATCAATCCGAAATCACGCTCTTGCCACGAGTATCCAACTGTGAGTAGCCCAAATCTAATCAAATCAATGTCATAACGTAAATACAACTACAAACAACTAATTTAGCTAAAGAAATCGAAGCTAAGGCAAGAAAATACAAAAATGCCCAAAAATCCTCCTCGGTCCACATTTCGAAATCGGGTAAAAGTCACAAATTATGAACACCTAATCACTCACGAGTCTAACCATACAAAATTCACTCAAATCCGATACCAAAATCTCGATCAAAACCCCAAAATTCGGCCTAAGAACTTTTCTCAAATTCTTCCAATTTTTCACCCCAAATCCGAAATTAAATGATGAATCCAACGTTATATTCGTGTATTTTAGCCAAAACTGAGTTAGAATCACTTACCCCGATGAATTTCTTGAAAAACCTTCGAAAAATCGCCAAGTCCCGAGATCTCTAGGTCAAATTTTGAAATAAAACCCTAAATTCCATATTTATAGTGCACCTCTCGGATTCCCATTTCCGCTGACAGCCGAAAATTGCTACCCCAGCGGACTTCCACCACTGACCGCAGAATTCCTCCGCTGACCGCGCTTCTGGTGGTTGTACAGACAGGCCTTAGTATTTTGACCATAACATTCTCTATTAATGTCCAAATGACGATTTCCTTACCTTTCTGGAAACTACACATGAAGGGCTACAACTTTTGTTTTTGGATCATCTTAAAATTCCTTGTAGATCAAACAATATAGGCTTCCGAAGTCGGACCAACGAACCTGCAGATGCTTCCCTGGAGTGCCTCAGCGCCCCAATTCTGCCCTCAGCGGAAGTTCCTTCGCCCTCAGCGAAGATTTAAGCACCAGAACCATGCCTGAGTTCCGGAAATGCCCGGACTCATTCATAACTCACCCGAAAGACACCTGAGGCCTCCGAAACCTCAACCAAACGTGCCATCAAGTCCTTAAATACCATACCAACTCAATCGAGCTCTCGAATCACCTCAAACAATAACAAAAACATGAATCGCACACCAATTCAAGCTTAATGGACTTGAAACCTCAAACTTTCACAACCGATGCGAAAACTATCAAACCTCGTCCGAATGACCTCAAATTTTGCACAAAGTCATATTCAACACTACAGACCTATTCCAACTTTCGGAATCAGATTCCGACCCCGATATCAAAATTTCACTATCGGCCCGAAAACTCCAAAAATTCAACTTTCGGCATTTCAAGACTAATTAAGCTACGGACGTCCAAAACATAATTCGGACACGCCCCGAAGCCCAAAATTACCCAACGGAGCTAACAAAATTGACGAAATTCCATTTAGGGACTAAGTATCCCAAAATACTCCGAAACTCAAGATGACCCATCCCGGCAATTCACAATAGCAAAAAATAGACTCGGGGGAAGCAGTTAATAGGGGATCGGGGCGTTAATTCTCAAAACGACCGGCCAGGTCGTTACAGCCTTGCAGGCCCAACTTTATATTGATGTTTAGTGAGTGTTAGTTTCCATTCAGTTTTATATTTTGCTTCACAAATTGTCTTGCATTGTGGCCCATGGCCAATGTATGATATTATATGTTCAAGGTCCCTTAGTCGCAAGTTGGTATGCAAGGATAGGTAAGAAACTGGGTGGCGGTCTTGCCCCCCCCCCCCCAGGTTCGGGGCTTGATAGAGAACCTGCTCTGGTACCAATTGTTAATTTGAGTTTCTTCCTAAATTACTAAAGAACCTTACTCCTTACACTTAAATAAACTAAACAGTAAAGTAAAAACATCAATTCTTACGTGAAAAATCGCCCGGCTCAAAAGTGAAAAAATTACGACCTACCACGTAGGATTTTAACTTCAACTTCACTGGAACAGCTGAGCGAAATGTATTAATTACCACACTTATAACCTAATATGCCTCCACACTTATCTTACTACTACTTATTATATGAAGATTACAAGTTACTCTAACTTGTAAATTCAGACAATTATTGTATGAAGATTACAAGTTACTCTAACTTGCAAATTCTGACAATACTTCAACTAACATTGTTTGAATGACATCATGATTACAACTCAATCTCCTAATACACATGAACTAACTGACTCAAGTAGAAAAGAAAATAACTTTCAGAACAACTTGACAAAAGACTTTGACGTACGTTTTGAACTGAAATTGCTATTGCACTTTTCTGCGGTCAAGGTGTGGAAGGATAGTTTTCAACAGTCCATAGCTACAAGAAATTGCTTATTTTGTGGAGGTCTTTTTGTAAATTTGTGGCGATTTTTCACCCCCACAAAATTAATTATGGCGGTTTTAAAAAATCCCACAGTTATCTTCGCCACGAGCCATTTTGCGACGGTTTTTTAAAACCTCGATGACGACCGCCGCAAAATAAATTTCTAATCTGTGACGGTTTCTAAAGGCAAGTAATGGCAGTTTATAACCTTCACAATAAGGTTTCAATGCTTTAAAAAAAATTAATTTGTGGGGATTCCTAACCTCCACAATATACTCTCAATTGTTAAAAAAAATAGTGATAGTAAATACTTTCTATTGTTGAAAATTATTTTTTTCTATACAAAAATTTAAATACTAAAATTCAATAAATAATTTATATGCTTACATGACGTTAATAAAATTCTAATGAGACGTTTATGAACAAACATTGAAAATCCAAATCATACAAAATTAAAGTAGTAATACAATAACCCAAATATTGCACAATTTAGTGCGGTTCCACAAAAAAATATATATATAATAAAAATTCTAAGTATTTGTTTGGTGATTGGTACTGCAGCCATCTAAGGATACTCTACATCCACGAGCGAAGTAGGTGCACTCTCCATGACACTTTGTTGAAATAATGAAAAAAGAGTATTTATTAGAAATTGATTAAAAAATTAGCAATACACCACCCGTTACAAGAAAGAAGTAAATAGATTGAACACAAATATGAGAAATACCTTTCGATCAACGTTGGAAATGAGTAGATCGGAAGGTACAGAAGATCACTATACGAGTAAAACAAATGAAAACAACAAATAAAACGAATTAACAACTATAGTAAAACGAATCTTGGTTGTTATTATCTGCTTTGTACCTTTTGACTTGTGCAATAAGCTGCTTGGCTAATGATCCCACGCTGTTAGATTAGACGGAGAAGGAACCATTAATTTTTCCCTTTGTAGAGAAGATGATGAAGAGAGGGTGTCAATATATAACTTCCTCGATCTCCTGAAAGAACTCGTGAGTGGAAGAGAGGGAATTTTATCCCTAATTAAACTTCAGAGAACGTGCATTAACAAGTTGGGCTCTGAGTAAATTGAGTCTTTTACCTAATTACCACCTAATTGTAAAGTAAAATTTGAAGATGGCATCCTAAATTTGTCTTTTTGCAGCTTACGTTTTCTCTATTTTATTTTCTTTTTTTACCTTTAAAAAATGAAACATGAGAAAGTAAAACTAAAGTGATAATATTCATACCTAAACATAGTTAAACATATTTGAACCTATATTATACTAGTATCTATGAACGTGCGTTGCACGTTAATAATGACACGTGATGGTTTAAACATTTAATTATATGAAGGAACAATAAAATTTAATTAATGAGAGAAATTGTATATATAATAATATAATAATCATCTAAATACCTAAAAAATATTATTACATTAGCATAATAGATGAATTTAAAATAAAAGGACATCATCACACAAATGATCAATTTTGTCATGTTAGTTAGATAATAATGTATTAGTACTTCCTCTGGTCCACGATTTTTTGATTGCATTCACACATATTAAGGAATTCAGCTTTTATCATTAATTAATAATATAATTGACCATATTAACCTTAAAGTGGATCGGAGGAAGTATAATTTAAAAGTATTAAATCGGATGGTATCTCACCGAACACTTCTTTGTGTGTATGTTTCCTCCTAATTGGTTACTCAACCTTAACCAGAACTCTTGTTGTCGATTTTGATATCCCTCTTGAAAGTGCAACATACAGTTTTTGTGCAAGAAAATATACTGCGGTAAACATAATCTAATATTTAGGATGTTTGTCCTTGTGATTATTTATTATATTTGAAAAATATTTTTTTTGGTAATTAACATTTTCATTTCTCAACAAATATTACATACTGTACTCAAGCTTAATCTGGACATACGCCCCAGTTTTAGCTCCATTCCTGGCCTCATTAACTACTACAAGAGACAGTTTAGTCTAACTACTCTCTATAGAACAATCCTTACATACTAGGATAGTAGTTGAGTTCCCGTAGTCTTCTTTGTAGCCTGTATTTACTTTCTCCTCGCCCATGCACATCCTGCGTTACTGCTCTCCTTAGAGTGACTTCTGGTTGTTGCACTCTTTTGAAGATCCTGCCATTCCTCTCTTGCAATATGTAATACAGTATGCCTGCCAGTACAAGTTTATACAACTCAGCTGTTATGCTCCTCCCTTTATAGTACTTCCCTGCCCAATCAAGTTCATTTGCCCACATCATTGGTTGTCTCTGGATCCCTTGCCATTACAACATTCCTGCCCATACTCTCGATGAATAGGTACATTTAAAGAACAAATGATCCACTGTCTCCTCTTCACTGTTACATAGAGAGCATGTTACATCCTCCACATAGCCCAAACCCCTCAGCCCGTCTTTAGTCAGCAATCTTCTATGTGCAGCTAGGAAGACTGTAAAGTTCCATTTTGGCACTCCAACACTGCTGTACACCAGTTTCCTCCATGATACTCTATCAAAGTCACCCCTCAGTTTCCCATACATACTCCTAATAGAGAAGCTGCTTATCCCCTCTACATCCTCCTCTGTATAACCAGCTTCCTCAAAGTATTGTGGGTTGTTGATGTCTTCTTCAACTTTTTTTGGTCATCTTGATTCCTGTTTCTGTTTTATCTCTTCATCTGCTATTTTCGCGTTAAGTATATTCTGTATTATCCAAGAGGCTTGTTTTGGTACAATACTGCACAATGCATTCTGTTTCTTATAATACACATGTATCCATTGCACCCATAACCTATCTTTCTTCTTGCATAGGTTCCAAAGGAGTTTACATATGGCTATCTTATTCCATTCCTCTATAACCAGTAGATTTAAACCACCAGCTGCTTTAGGTTCGCACGAAGTGTCCCATGACAATAAAGCTTTCCTTGACACTTCTACACCCCAGTCCATAAGAATGTTCTGCATACTCTTTCAATAAGTTGGATGAGTTTCTTTGGTAACACAGACACCTGAGACCAATATACTTGGATAGAGAATAGCACACTCTTGATTAGCTGTATTTTTCCTGCATATGACAGAAACTTTGATGTCCAGGATTGGATTCTCCCTAGCATCTTCTCAAGCAGAGGGTGGCACTGTATTAATGATAACCTCTTAGAGCTAAGAGGTAACCCCAAGTACCTAACTGGTAGTGTTCCTTCGACAAAACCCAAGTCTTGCAATATCTTCTGTTGTTGGTCATCATGCACTCCACCAAAGAATATGGAACTTTTATCAGCATTTGCCACTAGCCCTGAAGCCTTTGAGAATTGCTGAAAGCACTAAAATAGTAACTGAGCAGATATGGCATCACCTCTACAGAATAGTAATAGATCATCAGCAAAGCTCATTTGCACTATGTTCAGTTTGCCACATTTAGGACAATAGTTGAAATTAGGATCCTTTTTAAGTGTCTTCAAAAGTCTTGTCAAATACTCCAGAACCAGCACAAATAGGTAAGGAGATAGGGGATCTCCCTGTCTCAACCCTTTCTTAGCTTGAAATGGCTTTGTAGGCTACCCATTAATCATAATGGAGTATGAGACTGTTGTAACACAGCTCATAATCTATTGCACAAATCTCTCTGGCAGCTACAGATGTGTCAACACTTGTTCTAGATAACCCCATTCCACTGAATCATATGCCTTCTTCATGTCTATCTTCAGCATACATTTGGGAGAGACACCTTTCCTGCCATATCCCTTCACTAACTCATGACTAAGTATTATGTTTTCATTTATCAGTCTACTAGGAACAAAGGCAGACTGACTCTTATTCACCTGTCCATCCATCACTCCTTGTAATCTGTTGGTTAGTATCTTTGATATAATCTTGTAAAGAATTGTGCAACATGATATTAGCCTGTAGTCACTAATTTTAGAAGGACTTTTCACCTTAGGAACAAGAGTTACTGTTGTACAGTTGATAGGCTGATACATATTTGAACTTGGAAAAGAACTCCATAACTGCAGTTGTGATTGTATCTCCTACTACAGGCCAAGCCTTCTTGAAGAATAAAGCATTGAATCCATCATACCCAGGGGCTTTGTTGTCACTGATACCTTTCAGAGCCTGATAGATCTCCTCCTTTGAGACCTCTGCAATCAGTTGTAGTTGTTGCAGTCTATTCACCATGGGACCATCTCTCATAATATCTGGGTTAATAGCAGGCAATTCACTTGCTGATGAGCCTAATAGCTGTTGATAGATACCTGTCACCTCTTCCTCAATGTCCTTCCTTGTTGATATGGAGGATTATTATAAAAATTGATTTTATTAAACCTTCCTAAATATTTTTAAATAAGAATTTAATAGATAAATTTTTTTTAATATTAAAATTTTAAATATTAAAAATTAGCATAGAAGGTATTGTAGTCCAAGAAATAAATTATTGCAGTTATGTCCTTTACCTGTGAGTTCTTTCATTTAATATTTTAGGGCTATTTTGGTTTATTAATAATGTATTTGTGCCTTTATAATAATATAGGTCTTCTTTTTTCTAAATCGCTTTGGACAATATAATACATTCTCAAATTAGTCCAAAAAATAGGTTATTGCAGTTATGTCCTTTTCCTATGAGTTCTTCCATTTAATATTTTAAGGCTATTTTGGTCTATTAATATTATATATGTGCTTTTATAATAATACATGCTCTCCTTTTTCTAAATCGATTTCGACAATATAATACATTCTCAAATTAAATTAGTAATAGGACATTATAATACGTCTTCAAATAATTTTGACCTATAATTTTAAATAAAATAAATTTTTATTTATGAATTTAAAATATAATATATATATATATATATATATAAATTTATATATATATATATATATATATATATATTTCTATATTATAGTAGTGGATAATGATATTGAATAAGTGGCAAGTTAATAAAAGCAATATGGATATGTGATAATACTATATATTAGATAACGTAAAATTAATAAAATTATTAAAAATTAAAAATTAGAAATAGAAGGGAAAGACTATTTGAGCATAAGATTAAGAAGTTTCTAAATTATAGATGAGAACGCTCATGATAGGACCACGAAATTAAAGTGTTACTAGACAAAAAATTAATAAAAAATATAAAATAAATGTCTAATGTAAGTAATTTTACTTATAAAAATAAAAGTCAAATTTAATAATGAAACTAAAAATGAAAGAAAATTTAATTGAATGTAATACAAAAGATAATTTTGAGAAAACTCAACAGATTTGAAACATAATAATCAAAATACTTATGTATTAATAATCTAATGTGCTCACACAAGACAAATCACAACATAACATGTTTAGTATTTTTTTTAAATATTGACAGAAAATCAAAATATATGCAAGTGCTAAAATCAAGGGGCTGAGTTGTTACAAATATATATATATATATATATATATATATATAAAAGTTATCTTTTACGAGATTTGGAAAATAATTTCATGCCTCATTTCTTAATAGATATCTAAGAAATATATATAATTTTTATCTGAAAGATTTATATTTCAAGGTTATTTACACATAATTCAAATAACCCAATCACATTTGACATGATTTGTGTTTGCGCATTGCATGGGTACTAATATTAGTATAATTTTATTGTACACTATACAGTTAATAAATAAAGAGATCAAGGACAAAAAAAAAACATTCAGAAAAACAATTAGTTAAAATACCGAACAAATTCACATAAAACTAATTAAAATTATTCATCTAATATTTAAAAAATAGAATTCTTATATTAGATAAAATATATAATAGAGTTGCAAATTCCTAAAATTATTTATGCAAATGTGAAACTCCTAAAATTATGAAACTAAAAGAAAACTCATGAGCAAAATTTTGCAATTTTCTATTTCCTTTCAAAAGTGAAATTATCTAAAACCAAATAAAAAAAAAAATATTATTCTTATGATTTAGGAGTATTTAATTTATTCCATCAATACATGACCATGAAGATCGTGGGGGCAAAAATTAGATATCTACAATTACTAAATGTAAATATGTCTTTGTAAATCAAAATTTGCACTTATGCCAATGGTTTATAAAATGAAAAAGTATTTGTAGGACATGTCAAACCTAATATATGTTGAAAAGATGTAACTCACACTATAAATTAATAAGTACAAATATTTTCATTATATATAAGTATAAGATAAATGTAATAAAATTGTGGGAGTTAATAGCCGCCACAAATTGTAAAAATTGTGGCAGTTTTGCAAACCTTCACAATAAAACCGCCACAAAATAAATTATTTTGTGTGGGTTGAGAAAAACGCCAGAAACTAAATTAATAGTGGGAGTTTTTATAACCGTTACAAATAAACCGTCACAATTTAACATATTTTTTGTAGTGTTCCAATGCTCCGAGATCTTTGGGAGTCCTAGGTGTAGTCAAAATCTCGTTTACTTTCCAGTCCTAAAAACGTAAGGACTCCACAAACCTTGTAACTCGTATCTGCCAGATATCTTTTCAGATATCCTTAGGCAACAATTCTTATCGCATCAATAGTCCTTCTCAGCGATACCGGACTGCAGTAACTTTGTATACCTTCAGTAGCTACTGTGAGAACCTGGTTCTTATCACATGTTCATTGCACACACTTATTAATCATCAAAACTCAAATCTCAACAAGGACGCATAATGGAGAAGTTGACGTCATTTGGGCTTCTTCTTTTCATGGACCACCAACGATGCTCTGTTGGATTTTTATATCTGTTAGTGTCGGAAGAGGTCTGAGAGCCAACAGTAAACATAGATGGTGAAGGAAGCTATTTATTGCAAGAAGATCTTCAACCAAGGGAACACAATTGTTACCGCAACTTGCCAAGCGATTTGGCCTCTTGAATAAATCTAATCGACATATCATATTCATGGGTATCCTTTGTTTGATTATGAGGTTGAAGTGGACGTTAACGTGCATTTATGGTGCAATCTTTATATCGGGAATGTTTATGCGGCTCCGTCGACTTACTTATTTACATAAAAAAAGAAATGTTGGGACATGGAATTACTTAATCCAATAGGATTAGAATTTATTGTGGGCTATCATGGAACAAACATCATTATTGTGGCATTGGATGCCTCCTGTTTATTGCTTCATGCCCATGTTTTCCAATGACTATAACTTTTTGGAAAACCCCTGCTTGCTGAACTTAATAGTTTACCAAAAACTTTGAAGTTTGTTATGGGTAAAGGTTGGACATTAATGTTAATTCAAGGAGTTTGTAATCAAAATTGTCCCTTATATTCAACTTTATCCCTTAAATATACATCTTAGCACAAATCGTCCCTTAAGTATATCAAGGTTGAGCAGGTTTTGTCTAATAAACGGAAGAACTCAAACAGGAACAAAAAAGCTAACGGCCGAACCATGTGAAACTCACTGGTTAAAAAAGACTTGCATCGCGAACCCTTTCCCCTTGGGTTTCTCAAATTTGAGTAGCAGTGGAAGAGGTTGTTGCTATATTATGGCAAAACCCGGTTCACCTAACATTAATGAT